CCGCCAAGTTACAAAGACAGGTCCCACCCCTGCAAGCGAGCTCCAGACCAGGGTCAGACACTGTGACTACGCTCCTTTTCTCCTGGAGTGCTTTATTTGGGCAGAACATGTTCTCATCACCACCTTGGTCTGCCTCTCTTGGAAGGCGTCTTCTCTATGGCCTGGCTAGAGCTGCAAGAAAGGGACACACCCCACTTTGGTAAAAGAGAACGGGGAAAGGCCATAAACAAAGAGAGACTTGTAGTTTATTCTGTATCTTTTTTTTTTTTAAATAAATACACTTTACATTAAAGAAAAAGGCCTTTGATTTTTAATTTCCACATAGGAGAGAAAGTGAAAAAAAAATTTTTTTTTGAAAAACAATCACAAAGAAAAATAGAGGGAGTGAACTTATATCCTAAGTTCCCTCAACTCCACAAAACCAATATCCACAATGACCATGCTGCCCCCAAACCATGAAGGTGGGTGAATTTAGGCATTTACTCAGCCAACAAGCAGCACCTTCCTCCCCACCTCTGACACAAAGGAAAACAAATTAACTTGAAAGCATATGAGGCAACAAAACAGGTTAAAAAATCATATATTATATTTATAATAAAATATTCTTAATCCTTATCAATTTAAGAAACCACGATTTTCCTTTTCATTTAAATATGTATGTAAAAATGCCTCTATATTATTTTTTAGATATCATTTTCTTCCAAAGAAAATGAAGTGCAGGGACAAGAGACCTGGTGGATATAAGTTCATACCCTCAAGTTATAAATGCCTGTTGTGTTTTTTTTTTCTTTTTTAAGTTTTATAAAAAACTATTTCTTGTTCTTTAAGTAAAGAACATTATACAAAGAAAATATATTGTGAAATAACCCCAGAGACATTTCTTTTTTTTCCCTTGAGGAAACATGTCCATTCGAGGAGAAAGGGAAGCAGAATAGGGCCTAATCCCTGTTGTTTTTTTTGTGGTTGTTATTGTTTTTGGAAGGACCCTCAGATTCCAGTGAGACTCTTAAGCCATAATCCTCTGAATGCAGAGCATGCAGTTCCTTAAAAGACAGCCCTGGAAGAAAGGGAAGGGAAGGTGTTCGAATTCATTTGACTCAGATTCTTGACACCTGTCAAGAATCTCTTCCAAGTGGTGATGGCTCGTCACTCATTCAGAGATAAGATAATGTCATCTTCCAAATCAGAGTTCTCAGAACTGTCAGCTGAAAGGTAAGAAAAGGAAGAGACTAGATTATGCATTAGGCTTATAGGAAGCTTTCGGGATGGAAGCACCTGCATTCACATACATTTATGCCTGAGTAAGGTTAATTACCAGTTTCCAGAAAGAAGAAAACACATCAATTAACTCCTTGGAGCTGGCTCTGGAGAATATACCTGTTGCTTACAACAGTAGCCACCCCTGGGATCTCTTGCTTTCTTGCCTTTCAAAGGGCCTGGACACGGTGCCCTCTGC